TGTGATAAGAGTTGTATGAGCCCCTAATAAAATGATAAAAATATATATAAGTCAAAACTTTAGGAAAAATAGACAACAGGAAAAACAAAACAGAAACGTTATGTATAATCATGGATAAAATGTAGGTGTCTGTTTTTGCAGCCCCCCCTGAATTGGTATAGCACCACTTTGGAAAACACTGCTTCAAACCCAGCCACATTGTCAGCGCTCTCGAGAAGAGGTCATAATGAAGTTTCTTGTTCCAAAGGGGCCTGACAGAGAGGAGCTGGGTACACTGTAGTCAGTTTGCTGGACACAAGTAGGGCAGCTCCTGTACCTGAATGCACTTTCAGAGTGCATTTAGCAGAGCCCTGCTCAGGGCCCTGGAATTACGTAAAGGAACAAGATTAACCATTTGAACAGACTCTAGATATGCATTCCTCATTCTTCTTTTGCTAGTCCCCCACCTGAAAAGGGAAATGAGTTTCACGAAGAATCCCACCAAATGAACGAGACACATATTACTAAGAGTAATAAAGCAAACACAGCATCCTGCTAGGGAAGGGAATGCCCATAACATGTTACCCCTCTGTGATAGGTAGGCTTATTGTGCCAACCTGGCCAATAGGAACATGCAGGATTAATCAGGTCACAGTTTGATTGGAGGACACAGAGATAAATGGCTCTTCAAGGCCCGCCCCCCCGGATCTCTTGCTCTCTGATGATCGAAGTGTGCTGGAGTATGCTGCTGTGTAAGCTTGTTCTCTGCCTCAACCTGTGAGCTACACTACCTGTGAGTCAGGCCAAACCATGGATCATGTCCCTAGAGCTTGAGGATCCCTCAAGATCTGCTTTGCTACATTGCTGGTGTGTGCATCGCTTGAGCTTGAGGCTGGTGGATCCTGTCATCTTGCATTACTTGCATTTGATAACCCATCCCGACCTGCTTGAGCTACTATTGGTGACCCACCCTTTTGCTTGCTCCCTGTGGGGAGACTCTGCTTGCCTTGCCCAAGAGAGGGCTCTGCTGTCTGTTTCCTTGACCTTGGACCCAGCATCCCACGGGAGTTGAAGGACTTCCAGTACATTAACCGTTCCACGGAAGTGAGCTGAACTGAATCCTCTGTACTGCTGTGTGGTTAATCAGCTGTTATATTTCTTCTTACTGTATAAACCTATATTTCCTCTTACTGTATAAAAATATATATATAAAATCATAAGTGTCCTGGTTTCATTTTTCTAGAGAACCCTGCCTAACACACCCTCATATCACAAAGCAAGGTTGCGTTCCCTTACTATAGTGTGCAGGCTAGGGCCCTAGTAAAGAGAAGAAGGTTCAAACTGAAAGTAGAAGAATGGTATGTAAATGAATCCAAGCGGTTCTTCTTACCAAAGTGCCAGGCTTAGTAGATGATGCAGGCCCTCCACCAAGGCACTCACTGCGGAGGGGAAACACGGTAACACTAACTGAAGAAAAAGCATGTAGCACCTTGGTATAAAAGGTTGTTGAACAATCAGTTCAAGGATATGAGATCTGCTTGCACAATAATCCCCAGAACCAGCCTATGCCCCCTTTGCCAAAGCCCATGCAGCACAGAGGTTCTTATCCTGGAGAGTACTGGCAACTGGACTTTACCATTCCGTCCTGGGCACACCTGCTCCTACTTGTAGGTGGAAGCTTTTCCTACAAAGATGGGAAAAGTGAGTTAAGATGTGCAAAGCTCTTCTTACAGAAAGTCTCTCTAGGTTGAGGCTACCCTGATCTTTACAAACCGACAACAGTCCCTCTTTGGGGGCTAGTATAAGCCACAACTTGGCTCGGCATTGGGGATAACGTACAAGCTTCATTTTGCTTGGCACCCCCAGTCACCAGGAACAGTTGAGAGAATGAAGCAGGCTTTAGACAGAACTCTAGCCAGATTATGCCAAGAAACCCATGAATCATGGGTTAAGCTCTTGACCACTGCCCACTTGAAAATCAGGGCTGCCCCAAAGGAAGATTTCAATCCCAGCCTACACAAAATGCAAGATAGGCAGTCCATAACCTCAGCTCTGCTAATCAACCCAAACTAGCTCCTAGATACATAGTCAATGTAGGACAGGTTCAGGAAGCTCTGAAACATGGAAACTAAACTTTTATCTAATCGAGAGGAAGGGCCTATGTACCCTGATACACCCTGAGACCGGGTTCTTCCCAAACCTGGAAGGATTCCCAAAAGAGGCAGCTATGAGAGAAATGAGAGAAATGTTAGGGCCCTGTCCAGGTTATCCTAACAACACGGTACATAGTAAAACTTCAGGGACTCACTCCTTAGATTCATAACTCTAAACTTTCTAACTCATAAAAACTTCAAATTGAGACCATAGCCCATGAGGAGACCTGTGCCTGAAAACCCATGACTGAGCTGAAGTTATGTGCCCCCCTAAACATAGAGCAGATTAGGAGATCTTTCTATGCATGTACACTAGAGTACAGAGAAGCCCCCAGAGACAGGCCTTCTCTCTTAACGTTTAACCTGAAAGCTAGTTTACCCAGGAACTGCCTCAAAGACAGAGAACTGGCGCCATCTTGTGGACAACATTCCCCCAGAATTCCTCACACCGTGCAAGAACTTTTACATTTCCCCTGGCATTGACGCAAGGTGCAGAGCAGTGGCTGCTAATGGATTTTGTGTTGGGCTGCTGTCAGTTTGAAACCACTAGTTACAGTCTCAGAAACCCACGGGCAGTTCTACACCGCCCTATAAGTTTACTATGTCTCAGAAATGACTCAGTGGCAGTGAATTGTTGTTGTTCAAGATGAGCCATTGTTCTTTGACCTCCTTAGCTTTCAGGTGGCTACCCTCTGGAGCAGGCGTCCTCAAACTGTGGCCCGCGGGCCAGATGCGGCCCCACCGAGGATATGTATCTGGCCCACCGGGTGTTTTCACCCTGTTGGTTTTTTTACTTCAAAATATGTGCAGTGTGCATAGAAATTTGTTCATTGTTTTGTTTTGTTTTTAACTATAGTCCGGCCCTCCAACGGGTCTGACAGACAGTGAACTGGCCCCCTGTTTAAAAAGTTTGAGGACCCCTGCTCTGGAGGAAGTCTGAATAAAGTTCTCCAGCACTGTCTCTATGTCTGACCAGAGTAATTCGTTCTCTTGGTAAAAGCCCTGATTCCAGCAGCACTTTGGCTTAGTAGTCCTACACAAACATTTTGCACCACCCACGGACCTACGCCTGGGCTCACGAATGTTTGGCATGTAAAGTGTTTAAGAGCAAGGATCAAGGATGACTACGTTGTTTTTATACTGAGCACCCAAAGATGAAGATGGGTGTGGAAAGAGCCAGTTCTACGCAATAGATCCCGAGTTCAGTCATGTCCATCACATAAGGCATCACAGACATCGCAGTGAAGACGCAAAAGTCCTGCAAGAGATCCACATACTGGAGATTTAAGTACACAAACAGCAAAGTGGATAAGAGTAAAGCGACAGCATTTGCAAGTGGTGAGTGGGCCAGGGAGAGAACAGAGGTTGCAGGATGAATCTCTGGAATATTCCACGCTACACAGATGGGGTTAGGAGTGGTAACCCCAAAACGCAGAAACACTAACTCGGCGTCAGCCAGTGGATTCCAACTCAGTGACCCTGTAGGAAAGAGCCCCTTTGGACTTCTCAGAGGATGCATCCATCCCATGGGAGCTGAAAGATTCGTCTTTCTACCAGCAAAGTAGCAGCTAGTGGGTTCCAACTGCTGACTGCCGCTTTCAACCCAAAGTATCACCCATTACACTGCCAGAGCTTCTACCAGAACTCCCAAAGAGACGAGGAAAAGTCGAGGGGGCACCTCAGTCTCCCAGGAAGGAGCCCAGCGGGTCTCCAATGCCTACAGGGCCAGGATGACAGAACCTAGCTCTAGAGATTCCTAAAAATCGCATGGAATGAAAAGGAAACCCTTTCCGTCCCGAGGGTCTTGTTGCCCCCAAGAGAAGGGGTGATACCTACACACCCAGATGCAGATACCAGGCGATCTTCTTCCTCCTAGGAGAAGCTCTGCCCCCCTGGGCCCCCTTCCCTCCACACCCAACACATCCTCGCAGGCCCTACATACCCACTTTCGGAACCCCAAGTCCCGTCCTGTCCATCTCCCGGCCCGTGCCCCAGCGCCCTCCGCTCCCGTTCTCGGCCAAGCCAACTCTCACGCCCCATGCCTAGCATGCCCTCCTTCACCCAGTACCCACACCAGCTCCTCGGGGCTCGCTGTCCGCCGACCCGCCCCCCCCCATCCCTGCCCTAGGCGCACTCACGTAACGACTGCACATGGCTACGGCGAGGTTGTTTAAGTGCGGCGTGGCCCCCACCCACAAGAAGAGCGAGTCCGTCAGCCGCATAACGTGAAAGTGGACGAGCTGCTCCCACAGCCTCGCGCTGAAATTATGAAGGGAGACGCCGCCGGCCGGCGACCCCTCCATGCTAACGCGTGTCACCGCCCGGAGCCCCTTTCGCTGCAGACGCAAGCAGCAAGCAGGCGCGCTGGAGCCCCGCAGAGGCGGCGAGCGGGACCCGGAGGGTGGGTGGG